AATATATATATATATATATAAGCAATACAAAGAAAATAAAATTTACATGTGGAAAATGGCCACCACAAGAAGCAAAGCTTTGTAACGTTGTGCCTTAAAAATGAAGATATTTTGAAAAATTAGAATATTGTGAAGTATAAACCATATAATTATATACATGTAGTATACACAATAGTGCTAATAATATAAATATTATCAGATAATAAACATGAAAAAAGAAAAAAAAAAGAAAAAAGAAAAAATGAAAAAAATAATGCATAGGGCCTAACAATAATGATGCTTCTTGCTCAACTTTACTACCCACACTGAAGCAAACAGCATCCGCCAAATGGGACACATGTCAAGAGATTTAGCTTAAAATATGCACCTTATTATAATTGGAAAATGATTTAAATGGCATTCACAACTGTCAATGGTGTTATAAAAGTCAGTAACAGCCTATTTGTTCACTTACTGATTAAAAAAAAATCCATATCATTCCAACAAAAAATCCCAAGATCTCAATGTGTCATTAAAAATCCCAAGATATAGGGATAAATTCCAAACAGTGGTCACAGTGATCTCATCTGGGGCTTCTATGGCACGACCACATTCCGTTACTTTTTAAGGCTGGATTGGATAACAAACGAAAAAAGCACAGGCAAAAACCACCGAAAATCAGTACCTGTTTCGCAAGTTGCTTACGTCACGTAAATACAATTAATTAATCACATCTATTCTGTACTGCAATGCTTAGGTCTACAAATTATCGAGTCAGGCCGTAAAAGAACCATGTTTTGCAGCTTCATACGCACGTCACCGCCTGCAGGGTTGCCAGATAGTCGACAGGCTTCACGGCCAAACACACACCATCTCACGGCCAAATTCGGCCAAACTTTTTTTCAATATCCGCCAAAGGCCAGATTTTAATCCGGTTAGAAGACAGCTACGTGGCTACATATTCATTTGAAATACTGCAAAAATTACAGGAAAATCAGGGGCCGTTCGTTTGAAATTTAAGAAATTCAAATAATATACACAGGACAATGTTAAACTTCTTTTAATTAATCTATCACCATAAAATACATGCCCAGCTACATCATAATATTAAATAGCCTAGGCCCTATGTTCTTTAGTTGCGGACGCCCGAAAATATTAACCTTATGCGTTTGGGCGATCAATTTTTCTTTTTTTCTTTTTTTTCACCACTCCCCACCCCCCCCCCCCACTAAATCCGCCTCTGCTATTTAAAATCACATCATTAAGATTGATCTAAATTGATTTAAATATATTACATATTAACGTACATTGTAGTCGATCTATTGCAAAATAATGTTAAGGTCCTATTATTGGCAAACCCGTTTCTCTCTTTAATTAGAATGAATTAATAAGTTACATAGTTAGGTAACACAAACTGGCGTTAAAACAAACCTATGAAAACTTTAATAAATACTTTTTATCTAAACTTTATAAATTCGCCTCTGAATGTTATTGTCGCAGTACTTAAAGCAATAAATCAATGTTGCTATCAGAATTATCTTCTTCATTCTCATATGCAACCTAACTCCAGAAACACTTGCTTGAAATTGGAGGTGCCATCGGACCCGGATGAGCATATCGAGCATTTATATATGGCGCTCTACATAAAGAACACTGCAGCACCTAGGGCTATACAATTCAAGTGGGCAATAATAAATTAATTATGTACAGTATTTAATTTATATTCAAAAAAAATTCAAAAGAGATAGAACCTCCACTAGAATGGAACATATACAAAGACACACAGTATGGTACAAACTTGCATTGAACTGTCTTAAACGAGGATAAACTTCATTAAAAAAAATATGTATTTCATCCGAACAATTTAAATTATTAAATGTAACTTATCTTTTAAATAAACTCTCTTACCTCACATAAGCTAAAGGGGGAACATAGATTAAGTGTTTAGTGCAAACAAAGGTACATGATTCAGGGGCGGATCCATGATTTGGAAGAGGGGGTTCAAAACGTTTCCAAAAGTACCCAAAATGAAAGGAGGTCCGGGGGTCCTCCCCATGGAAAATTTCCCCCTTGAATCCGCCACTATGGGGAATCCTTTAACGCTCAGGTGACCTAGGGTTTTAAAACAAATACCGTATAGGCCTATACTCACGTATAAACGAGGCTTAAAATAGCAAATTACGATCGAAAAAAGGGGGTCGTCTTATACGCACGACATTCAGATTTTAGATTTTTATATTCATGTTCGTCTTATGTGTGGATGTTCGTCTTATGTGCAGATCGTCCGTAAATCTGGTTTTCTACTAGGCGAATGTATTCACGCGAATCCAAAATGTCGGCTTATGCACAACATGCGCATTCACATTCCTATTGGAGTTTTTAAGAAGCGAAAAAATGCGCAACCAATCAGAGCTCAGGAAGCGAGCCGACGCTTTGATTCGCGCGAATAAATTCGCTTAGTGGAAAACCAGCTTAACACGCTAACTTACTACTGCAATGAAGCAACTAAATGTTGTATCAATGAAAGCAATTTTAAATATGGGAAAATACGATTTTGGTGGTGAAGATTTAAAAACTCATAAAATGGTATTATTTGGAAGATTACCCTTGCATTTGGCTCCATTTATCCAGCTAGACGCAGTATACAGGACCACAAAAACAAAATAGGAATTCCGACCATGAAACAGGGAGTCGTCTTATACGCCAGACATACAAATATCAACCAAAAATCTTCTAAAACTCAGGGGTCGTCTTATACACGGGTCACCTTATAGGACCTACGCGAGTGTATACTGTATTATTACGGAACCCCTGCGGAAGTTCGGGTTCCCGTCACATTTTAAACGGTAGGTTGTAACAATAAACTCGCAAGACTGCTCGCGACTACTAGATTCTACAAGTGCGTGGTTGGCTGGGTTGTTTTGGTCGGAAAGGAGAAATTTTCTCTGTGAATTGATTCTCGAACGAGATAAAGAAAGCTCCTAATGACTCAAGCAACTGTATACCGTTTTTATATTTTTAATAAAACCAATTTCTTCTAATTTTAATACGGTATGTTTTCCCCTGATTTTGTGATAATTCGTTATCACGCAAGTGCTAAATGCGTGACACATTTATGATCTCGCATGTGTTTCTGCAAAATGCGTTTCATCCAATATCACTTTGAAGTGATGCGTGACGGTTGGTAACTATGGCATAGATAACTGCCGGGCCCTAGGTAAAATTGGTAAAAATTCACCTGATCGGACATAGAGACAGTCTCTAGTGGGGTCTACTCAGGCTATTCTGAGGCTTTTTAAAACAGATACGGTACGGCATTAACGCTCAGAAATATCTAAAAAGTATTTTGTTTAAAAAATTAAAGAATATTGAGAACAAACTATGGTCAAGTCATGTTATCGTTTAGGGCCTATTAAGCATTTCATGAATCTATGATATATTATAATATTGACAACATCAATAGAACATAT